GTTCCCAGGATAGTGTGGGTTTCACATCTGCTTCCATTCTTCAAGTTTCTTCAGCAGTAAGGACCTATCGACCTCGTTCCTCAAGGTTCATTTGTCAACATATTAGTGTTCCATCCATAGGACGCTGTCATTCTGTGTTTGTGAGTTTCTTGGTTGGTCTCTTCCTCAAGAATATGGATAGTCTACACCCGCGGACCAAATGCTCTTTGGGGCATGGGACAACCTTTCAAGCCATTGGTTACGTGTTCCTTATTTTATGTTTCCTGGAAGATAGTGGTTTTGGGAGCCATTACATCCACATGGTGAGTGTCAGAGCTTTGTACTTTAATGTCGGAGACTCTGTATATTGTTTTCCATAAAGACAAAGTTCAACTTAGGCCTCACCCAGCCTTTCTCCTGAAATGGTCTTCAGTTTCCATTCCAGCCAGGACACATTTCTGCCTATTTTTTTTACCCATAGCTAGACAAGTCCTTGTGGGAGCGGAGATGGCACTTTTTTGACATAAGGAGATCCCTCACCTTCCAGTGTATCTCTGCTTGGATTGCAGCTTGCATCCAGGGATGCTATGACCTGGCCAAGGTCCCCTTGGCTCCTATTATGCCACACTCCACACATGCGCCTTCCTGGTTCTTGTTTCGCTCCAGGAAATCTGTAGAGCTGTGACCTGGTCCTCTGTCCATGCCTTCACGTTGCACTACACCACTTTTCACCAATCCAGGCAAGATGCAGTGTTCAACACTGGAGTAAGGATGTTAAAATGCGGTTAATTGACTAGTCGATTGGATTTTCATCGAATAGTCGATAGGCACTTCTGCATTCCTCTTTTGAATGAGGGGGCTCTTGTACATTTCAGAGGAGGAATGCAGAACTCGGTGTACTGCCCGAGGCCGGTGGGAAGTCCCAGTGACTCTGGGCTGCACGAGGGTGCTTTCTTTGAAATGTACAAGAGTCCCCAGTGGGGGCTTTTGTGCATTTCAAAGCCATGGAGCCCAGGATTAGCGGGGGACTCCCCAGCTGATCCCAGGCTCCCGTGGCATTTTGGGTTCTGGGAAATGCTGCGGGAGTCCGGGATCACCTGGGGAGTCCCAGGCTCCCCGCAGCTGCTCCTCTGAATAGCGTGGATACGTGGTCTAAAGGAACAACCGCCAAACATCTGATCCGTGGATCAGCTGTGCGGCTGCTGTCCCTTTGAACCACGCATCTGTATGATGCAGGGAGCCCAAGGTCAGCTGGAGAGTCCCTATCTGATCCCGGGCTCCTAGCAGCATGCAGCATAATATGGAGCCTGGAGTCAGCGGGGGACACTGATCCTGGGCTCCTGGGGACTCTTGTGCATTTCAAAGAAGGCACCAGCATGCAGCCTGGAGTCAGCAGGACTTCCCGCTGGCCCTGGGCTGTACATGGAGTTGGGACTCTTGTACAGTTCAAAGGAGGGAATGCGGAAGAGCCTATCAACTAGTCGGCTAGTCAAAAAACTATCCGATTGATCAGCAAATGCTGATCGGATAGTCAACTAGTCTTTAACACTGGAGTGCTCAAGTCAGCCACCTGTTGACTCCAACCCCTCTTCCTGGGTGAGGCTTGTAAATCACCTAATTGGAACTAATATGAGCAAGTACTTGAAGAAAAAAACACTCATCTTTTGTAATGGTGGTTTTTTGAGATGTGTTGCTCATGTCTATTCCATACCCACCCTCCATTTCCTCTGTCAGAGTAACCTGTAAGAAAGAACTGACGCGTGGTCGAGTTATCAGGGCCATATATAGTGCGCTTCTCCAGGGTGTTCCACTGCCCATGTAGTCACTGTGGAAACTTTCAGGAAGTCATGCACATGGTGCGTGTACGTCTAATTAGAATAGATATGAGCAACAGATCTGGAAGAAAGACAGTTATGAAAGGTGAATAACTGTTTTTGTGTGTGTGACTGTCTTTTTTAAAGAACTTTTTGCTTTTTCAGTTTGCTGTCAGGTGGCATTTTAACACCATGTAGGTGGAATCTTTAGTTACTCTACACAGACATTTTAAGTTACATGCTTCTGCTACTTGAACTAGTGAAATAACTGTTAGCACTAGTAAGTTGTCCTTTTTTGCATCAGTACTAGGGAAACAGACACACATTTAGCCTGTGGGTTTCACAGATATTTGCTGACAGAGGAGGATTGGTGCGACTCAGGCATCTGCCACGCCAAACTCTGGAGGGGAGTGTTCTGTAGTAGTCACGGTTGTTTTTGCCCAGTTCTCCAAACTTCACTCTTTTCTATTACACTCCTTCCAAGGAGTTCCAGGTCTTGTCTCCTCATCCCCCTGGTCCTTGCCCCAGTCCTAGTATTGTTACCTACCCTGTCCCAGGGTCTACTCAAGCTTCTTGTCCCAGTTTTCATGCTTAGAAAGTTTTTATTACGCTGCCTCCCCCCAGGCTTGCTGTCAGTTTGGATTTCTGACTTCTTCATTCTCTCACTTCGTCCCCATGCCTAGTCATGATCTCCTTGCCCAGCCAGTTTTTGTTTCACTCTTTCGAGCTCCTTGCCCACTCTCTTTTCCTCCTACTCCTCCAGCTCCTCATTGCGCTCTGCTTGTTTAGCCTATCCCTGTCTACTCTTCCTCACCATGAATCCTAGTCGTCTTCCACAGCCAGTCTGTCTCCCTCCCAAGGGCTGTAAGTGACTAGTTGACTATCTGATAAGCAGGGCTTGACAAATCTGCTTATCTACTTGCCCGTGGCGAGTAGATTTCAGCTTGTCGCTTTGTTCACCGGCAGTGTGCGCATGTGCAGTGTGGGTCTGGCGCATGCGCAGTGCGGGGTTGGTGATTGGGTTTTCTCTGCGGTCATCAAGCCTTGCTGATAAGCATAAACTTATCAGTTGACTAGTCCTTCAACTAGTCGTTTCTCCCACCCCCCGCAAGGAGAGGAGCAGGAGCCGGTGCTGTGGGGAGCCAGCTTAAAAGCCGGTTCCCCCCCCCCCCCCAGCACTCTTTATCCGGGGAGCAGGGAAGGCAGAGGAGTAGCAAGAACCAGGCGTGAGCCAGGGAAACTGCTAATTCTGGCTTGCACCTGGTACCCTTCCCGCTGCACTCTACTCTTCTAAATGTATTAAGAGTCTGCCAGCTCTTAATACATTTAAAAGGCAGAGCCCTAGCGGGGTTAACTCCCGGGGCAGGGAGCTAACCCTGCTGCAGCTCCCCTGCTTATTGATTAGTTAATGGAAATTCTATCGACTAGTCAATTAGTTGATTAAACTACATTTAACATCCCTATTCCTTCCCAGCCTCCTGTCCCCAACCCCTAGAAAACAGACTTTGTGTGCTCTTTCTTTCCTGTCCAATCTTGCTTCTGTCTCCTGTATACTTGAATTGGACAGCTTCCTCTTCCATATTGCACTGCCTGGATGTGTTACAAAGGAGTAGAGGTGCATTGAGAGAATAGGAAATGCAAGCTCCCTGCTCTTACTTCCCCATTCTGGCTCGCAAGAGTAAACAGAGGAAAATCTCTCTCTCAGCCTTGCATTTCTAGACTGGGGAAAGCCTGCTTGGTTTCTGTGGGGATGGTGCATGTCAGTCACTGTGTGTGTATGATCAGTCTGGACACACTTACGTGCAGTGAGAGTTGAGCATGCTCAGTGAAGTTGGAATCTTCAAAAACTTGGGCTGTTAAAATCAAAGTATTTTCTACCTAGCATATGAAATTGTTACAATTTAACCAAGTTAGCTGAATTTTAATGGGGATGCCAGGAGGCACTTCCTTAACAGATGTCATCCCTCAGCCAAATTTCAAGTCATTAGTTGTCACAATTTTGGCATGAGTGTACCCTGTATTAGGGATGTAAGCGACTAGTTGACTATTTATTGACTATTTATTGGATAGTTGACTAGTGATCCAAATAGTTGCTCCCCCCCACCCTTGCTGCCTCTATCAGAGAGGTAGCAAGTGGAGGAGCAGCAGCCAGTGCTGGGGTGAGCTGACTTAAAAGCTGGTATCCCCCTCCCCAGCACTGTCTCCGCAGAGGGGAGGGGAAGTAAAGGCATAGCAGGAAACGGTGTGAGCGGGGACTGAAGCAGTCTTTGCTTGTGCCGCTTCTGCTGCAATTCTACTTTTGAAATGTACAAGAACTCATGGGGTAGTGGTGGCCTACCTCAAGTGCTGGGGTGTCAACATTTACCCCTACCTCAAGGACTGATTTTTCAGGAGCAGTTCCAGGACCCAGGTCTGTCATGACATAGTGCTTCTCCCAGACAACTGCTGTTTTCTGCATCTCCTGGTTAGCGACACAAAAATCCGTGTTATTACCAGTTTTAGTGCCCCAATTAACTCTGTCCTTTGATTTGACCTGTGTGAGAGCGATCCTGCCCCTAAAAAGGTTCCAAGGCTTGGTAAGCCTCAAACTGCAGGTGTCCATGTTTCCTTGATCATGTCCAGAATCTGTGCGTGCCTTCTTGGGACGTATGGCAGTGTGCATTTACATGGTGTGCCAGACCAGGCTCCGAATGTGGCCACTCCAGCTTTGGCTTACATCCAGGAATCACTTGGAAAAAGTTATCATTGTCATTTTGCAAATGCTTACTGCCTTTTAGTGGTGGGCCATCAGTGCAGGGACTGGACTAGATGACCTCTAGACATCCTTTCCTGTCCTGTTCCTATGAATGTATTAGCACTCACTGCCGCCTCTGTGTAAAATATTTATAATTACACTCCAGCTCCTTTTAATACTATTTCTTTATTGGTGGAAAAAGGTTGAAACGTAGTAGCAATAAAATTTAAATCTAAATATAGTTTACTATAAATTATTTGGCAAATATGCAATAAATGGAATGGTGGTTTTATGCAAAGCTTTTTCTGTGGTGATATATAAATTCACTCATCGCCGCTGACTAATTGTCTGTTTAGTAATGTTTTAATCAAGCTCATAAAATGTTGATACTAAAACATCTTTTATACTTTAAAGAATCATTAATGATTTCTACCGTTCAGTGAATTACATTTCCCCCCCCCCTCTCTTTACAGATAAAACTAGTGGCCCTGAAAATAGTCCAATTCCAATGGAAAACAACAGAGAAGAGGTAGGAATTAAGTATATGGTGAGTTAGATTTGTATTACTAGCATTATTGTAAAATGGCTGGCATAGAAGCTCATGATTACATTTGAATTTGAATCTGTAGTGAATTACACTACCATATCTGCTGAATGTGAAAGTTGATTATGGAACTTTTCTAAATGTTGAATTAAAAAACCACAATATAGTAAGCAGTCACAAATTAAAAATAAAAAGTAAGAATAAGATTCAGTGCACTTCCTTCATTTTGATTGTTTTTGTATTTTTCCTATGGTACTTAATAATGCATGAATAGATATAATTTTGTGGAAGTTATCATGCTGTAGGGCTTTGAACTGCCAGTAAATCTTTGCTGAGCAATGGATCGCTCCTGCAGTTTTGCTAAATTCATAGAATCATAGAATAATAGGACTGGAAGGGACCTCGAGAGGTCATTGAGTCCAGCCCCCCGCCCTCAAGGCAGGATCAAGCTCCGTCTACACCATCCCTGACAGATGTCTATCTAACCTGTTCTTAAATATCTCCAGAGAGGGAGATTCCACCACCTCCCTTGGCAATTTATTCCAATATTTGACCACCCTGACAGTTAGGAATTTTTTCCTAATGTCCAATCTAAACCTCCCCTGCTGCACTTTAAGCCCATTACTCCTTGTCCTGTCCGCAGAAACCAAGAGGAACAAATTTTCGCCTTCCTCTTTTCATGACCCTTTTAGATATTTGAAAACCGCTATCATGTCCCCCCTTAATCTTCTTTTTTCCAAACTAAACAAGCCCAGTTCATGAAGCCTGGCTTCATAGGTCATGTTCTCTAAACCTTTAATCATTCTTGTCGCTCTTCTCTGTACCCTTTCCAATTTCTCCACATCTTTCTTGAAATGTGGCGCCCAGAACTGGACACAGTACTCCAGCTGAGGCCTAACTAGTGCAGAATAGAGCGGCAGAATGACTTCACGAGTTTTGCTTACAACACACCTGTTGATACAACCTAGAATCATATTTGCTTTTTTTGCAACAGCATCACACTGTTGACTCATATTCAAGGATGGCAGGAGACAAATCGCTTGATCATTGTCTTCGGTCCACCCTCTCTGGGGCACCTGGTGCTGGCCACTGTCGGCAGACAGGATACTGGGCTAGATGGACCTTTGGTCTGACCCAGTACGGCCGTTATGTTCTTATTAGGGCTTTCAGTCACAGTTAACTAAAGCAATTAGCTAAATCAATTAAAAATTAATAGTGATTAATCACTGTTTTAATAGCCCCGTCAAACAAGAATAGAATACCAATTGAAATTTATTATGACTATTTTGGATTTTTTGTACTTTTAAAAATATTGAGTTCATTACAACACGGAATACAAAGACTACAGAACTCATTTATTATTTTTGATTGCAAATATTTGCACTGAATGGGCTCATCTAGACTACGCGGAAGATTCGAAAGAGGATATGCAGATTCTGCAGGATTTTGCATATCTTTTTTTCAATCTCACTTTCGAAAGCCAAAGTAATCAAGACACGTTTTTTCCCGGCAACCCCCCCTTTTTTCGAAAAGCCGCTTTTCCTCAAAAAATGAGGTTGTTGTGGCTTTTTGAAAAAGTTGGGGGTTTGCCGCAAAAAACACGTCTTGATTACTTTCACTTTCGAAAGCAGATATGCAAATTCCCGCGGAATTTGCATATCCTCTTTCGAATCTTCCGCGTAGTCTAAATGAGCCCTAAGAGATGAACAAAAGATAGAATATTTTTCAGTTCACCTCAGAAAAATAGTATAGTGCGATCGCTGTTGTGAAAGTGCAACTTACAAATGTAGATTTTCTTTTCTGGCATAACTGCACTCAAAAACAAAGGAAAGTAACATTTTAGATTTTATAAGTCCATTAGTCCTCCTTCAGCCAATTGCTAAAGCAAACAAATTTGTTTACATTTATGGGAGCGAATGCTGCTTGCTTCTTATTTACACCATTACCTGATGAGGAGAATAAATGTTCACATAGTACTTTTGTAGCCTGCGTTGCAGTTATGTGTGTACCAGATATGCAAAAATTCGTATGCTCCTTCAGACTTTGTTCACCATTCCGGAGGACATACTTTCATGCTGATGACAGGTTCTGCTTTATAATAATCCAAAGCAGTGCAGACTGATCATGTTCATTTTCATCATCTGAGTAAGATGCCATCAATAAAGTTGATTTTATTTTTTGCTACTTCAGGTTCTGTAGTTTTCATTATAGTGTTGCTCTTTTACGACTTCTGACAGCATGTTCCAGTCTTGCCCCCCTCAAACTTTGGAAGACTTTTCCGATAACCCTGTAATCTCACTTGGGTTCCTTATTTGCTTTCTCTCTCTCTCGTGTGCGTGTGCGTGAAAAATCTGCAATGAAAGAGTTCTTAAATGGAATAATATATGTTGGGTCAACATCTGAGACTGCTGTAACACGAAATACATGGAAGAATGCAGGTATGACAGTTCTTCCCCAAGGAGTTCAATCACAAATGTAATTAATGCATTATTTTTTGATGACTCATCTGCATGGAAACCTGTCTTCTAGAAGTGTGGCCAAAGCATACCTGGCACATAAATACCTTGCAGTGCTGTCCATAAAAGTGTCCTGTGAATTCTTGTTCTCACTTTTAGGTGATTTCTAGGTGACACTGGAAATAAGAAGTGGGCAGCATTGTCTCCCATAAATGTAAACAAACTTGATTAGTAAAAAAGGAAGTGAGCATTGTTATAATTTGTATTCTGTGTTGTAATTGAAATCAGTATATCTTTGAAACTATAAATACATTCAAAAATATTTGTAATTTTAATTGGTAATCTGTTAAGTGTGATTAAAACTGTGATTAGTCACAAATATTTTTTATTTGTTTGTAAGGTTGCCAAAACTTCCGCCCACCTCACCAAAAAAGAGTCACGGCCCCTTTAAAACTCCACTCCCACACTCCCTCCGCCCCCACCAGATGTGGCAGGGGAAAATATCCCTGTTGGCCTTCCATCCTCAGGGAAACAGGAAATACCCGACATGTGCAATGTCGGGTATTTCCTGGTGTTTTTTTTTTTTTAAATGGATAGAGCCCGCAAATATGTTGGGCTGAACACACACACACACACACACAGACACACACACACACACACAAAAGCAGGTAAGGCCCGTCATTGACTGAGTAAAGTCTTTTTTTGTAGATTACACTTACAGGAAAGTTCAAGAAATTAAATATATGTAACATAATTTTTTATTAATGTACTTGCAAAAGGGAAATATGAACAGTTTAATATTTGTTTGATTTCCACTTCAAACATTCATTTTATTGAATTATTACCCATACATTGTAAATTTGAATCAGAAACTTGTAACGCTTCCATTACTCTTTCTGTAACTAATTTGAATTATTTGTGATTTGTAACAGTAAAAATTGTCTTTGCACTAAAATGGCAGTTGGTTTTTAATTTTGTTAGCAATCTGCTCCCCCAAGCGAAGCCAGGAGATGGGATAAAAATCCTGCTTCCCAGACTTGCAGGCACTAGCAGTCTAGGTGGGAGTTAGGACAGGACACATAGCACAAAGAACTTCCCCCCGCCTCCACCTCAACGCAGTGCCAGCACCCATCCACTCCCTTTTCTCCTGCCAAATAGTCAACTTCTTCCCAGCCTAGGAGGCTTGAGGAGAGTGCTGAGTTTCTGCCTCTTCTTCCTTTCCTGGTGCAGTCTGGACTATCTCAAACTCCCCTCTCCTCCTCCCAGCCAATTACTCCCTCGCTCCTGCTCTACAAGTTTTCCCCTGCCACTTCTTCCCTCCTCTTTATCTCCTTTTCTTACCTGCTCTCCGAGTAGGGTTGCCAGGTGTCCGGTATTTACCCGGACAGTCCAGTATTTTCGCCTCTTCTCCAGTAAAAAAATTCAGAGAATACTGGACACCTAAAATGTCCGGTATTTTCTGATTTTTTTTTTCCCCCTGGCCAGGAAGCAAAAATGCCAGGCACCTGGCAACTCTACAAACACTCAGTGCCACTCCCCACCCCCACCAGATGTGGCAGGGGAAGAATATCCCTGTTGGCCTTCCATCCTAGAAAAAACAGAAAATACTGGACATTTTACATATCTGTTATTTTCTGTTTTTTTTAATATATAACCGAACAAGGGCCACAAATACCAGACTGTCCGGGTGAAAACCAGACATCTGGCAACCCTAATTGTTTGACGTCTTTTAGAAAGTATACTTATTTTTAAAAAGGATTGAGAGAGATACAGGGGTATTGTATTTGCATAAGTAGAATTGTCCTAAATAATGTTTAAAATTTTTCAATGAGATTTTAGCAGAAACTTTCACTGGTATGTTGTTTTTACTAATTTTTGCTTTTTTAAAAAAGCCGTACCCAGAATGGCATAGATTTTCTCTTACTATTCATTGGTAAAGAATCAGAGTGGATCAGTTTAATGCTACAGTAGTAGCACTAAAAATCATGGGAAACTACCTCAGAAGTTGACCTGGTGTTTCATGAGTTATAGAGCACCAGTGTGGATGCAGTTGTATGGACATACAGAATTATGGCATTGCATTGTAGCTGCTTGTCCAGGAGCTAAGCCAGCCCAAGTGCTCTCACCTTCACCTGAATTAACTCTGTAGTGAAGACATTCTTTTTTGGGAGCACCTCATGTGACCCAGGAATATTGATGATATGCTCTTGAGTGAGCCACAACTGTTCTTAATCTAAAGTTGTGACGTGTGAGCCGTAACTGTTAAATGGACCTTGTTTGAATTGCAGGAAAATAAAAACTTATGGAGGGATCCTCTACTGTTTTTAATACTTGCTCAATTTCCTGCAAATTCAGTGCATAAAAAATATAATCTATGATTCTGTGAATTGCTCAGATCACAAAAATATTCCTTTATAATTTCTGATGTTGTGTATCTTTGGTGGGGTTCAAAATACATACTAATTTAAGAGATCTTAATTCAGGTAGTAATTTATAAACTAAAATGTCTCATTGAATTTTGCTGATTACAACACTGTACATTTACAAGTAAAACTTATTTTTTGTTCTGCTTGACATGAAATGTAGTACAAGAAATGGGATATGATTGGTTTAAACTTATGTTGAAACTGACTTCTGATTGGATTAAATTTTCATTGATGTATGCTTTGGTCACATACGAACAGATGTTTGTGACTTCAATTTTTTCCTTGTTTTTAGGGAAATAGCTCTTCAGAAAGATCCAAATCTTTAGGATCATCACGGTCAAAAAGGTTGGTTTGAAAAGGAAAATGTGAATTAATACTTTCTGTAACCTAGGTGTCTTTCCTAATTTAGTCTACAGAAACAAACAATGTGGTCCCAGATTACCATATAGTGTAGATTAGCATAGAGCCATATTATGTTACCTCAGGCTGATTTACACCAGCTGAGTAGGCTTACTGTGCCAAGTTTAAATTTACCTCCTTCCTGAAGTATGAGTTTATTAACAAAGAAAACAAGATACAGTAAACTTCCGATAATCCGGCACCTTTAGGACCCAGGGGGTGCCGGACTATCAGATATGCCGGACTATCTGAAGGGGGGGCTATGAGGGGTCTGGAGTGGGATGGGAGGGGATGCCACCCCAGACCCCTCATAACACCCCCTTACGATAGTCAGGCTCTGCCTCAGGAGCCGGTGGGGACATTCTTCCCCTGCTGCGTCTGGTGAGGGTGGAGGGAGTGAGGAAGCTGGGGTGCTGCCAGGTTGGCCCTGCAGCGCCTTACCAGGCAGCGCCCCAGCTGTTCTGTCCCAGGCTCCAGATTCAGCAGCTGTTGGAACTGATCAGGCTGATTCCAGGAAGCTGGGGGCAGAGCAACTCTGCCTCCGGCTTTCCGTAGGTCGCCG